TTCTCGGCAACGATTTTGCATTCCGAGAACGGGCAGTGATGCGTTGCTAATTAATTTAGGATGTAGGGGTCACATTGGTGGAGGATAAAGGCCAAACCAAAAACGCCTCTTGCGACATCATATGCTCATTAAACAGAGGAAACGTGTCTTTTCATCATTCACTTCAAAAGAAGGGATGAAACCACCTTTTTACAAAGATGAATCGTACTTGATGTTTACTTTGATCTATATTGACAACAATCTTGCTTTAAAAAGCCTTCCCGCCAGATCCTCAACAATGTATCTATATACGCTTCAGTGTCCCTCAGAAGCTCTTAACATTTACGTACACTGCTTATCTGTGTTTAGTGTCTAATTTTTCTCCCTAAAAAATAACAAACGGATGCAAGAAGGGCCAATAGCGACGCAAATTGTGATAATTGTTGGCCAACTAGACAGATATGCTTGGGCAAATATTTGAGAGAGAGAGAGCATAAATTATGTATCTTAGTCACTATTATCAAGTTAACAATCAATATAGATCACTCTGATACTGAAAATATCCTTCGCGGGGGAATAGTTAAAAGATCTAGAATCTTTTTTACAGGGTTTAAATCTTGGCCAGTGAAAAGCATATCATTGAAGAGAATCAAAGATTGTAAACAGAAGAAAATTTTGACGATTAAAGCGTTGGTAAACAGATGTTTTCGCAAACAAATGTGTAAGTGTTGGTTTTCAAGTGAATATTAGGTAAGAAGCATAAGCTTTGTGTTGGGTCGCTTCCTGTTGCTAATAATTGTTTTGAGCTTTGACTTTTCTGGCACAAATGCTGTTTAGTCATCTACAAATGAAAGAATCGTTTATCGAATGAATCTCTCGCGTGAATCTAGATGGATTTCAAAAATAATACACAAGTTTTGAGTGACGCGACGCTCAGGAGGGACGCGTTTTTTTTTTCGCCTAAATCCGCGTTAAACATCGCGCGCGTGACGCGAAGTCCAAAGGCGCTTATTGTGTTGAAAGGAGCTGAAATGGTTTCTTTTGTGTCTAGTGTGTGACGTCATGGCGCAGCTCCAATCAGAGCCCGGAAGCCAGTGGGCATTGGCCCCTCATCCGGCGAAACAATGCTCTGAGGTTTTCATAATGAGGTTTACAGTGTTTGGTGATTGTATGGTCAAAACGTGGAGATCTTTTGCGCTTAGAAAATGACTCTCTCTGTTTAACTTTACTCTTAAGGATCGAAAGTTTCGGTTAAATATGGCGTCAGTTTCTCACGAAAATGTATCGCTCGCGATAGAGGAAAGCGCTTGGCTGAGCCGTGCTTGAGGAAAGCACGCAAGCTTCACTTGCGCGTGGTGAACAACGCCAGCTGCGAGAGTACAATCGTCAGTAGCGGTGTCTCCTGGAAATGGAGAAACAAATACCCGACTCAGTAATTCTTGAAGTGTTCAGGTACTTTACGAAAAGAGAACTTGGGGTTTTGGCTCAAGTTTGCCCGCGCTGGAGAAGAATTGCGTACGATCGTTCGCTTTGGTGTGTTGTTGACATGAATGATTTTTGGCCTGCGGTTGATGAAGAGACGTTGTTGATGTTGATCAGGACGCGTTTATCTTCGGTAAAAGCTCTTAATTTGGGCGGCTGTACCCTCACAGCCAAGGTGGCTAAAGAACTCGCTAAAAGATGCCATCAACTCCGCAGTCTGGTCTTTTACGGAGCGGAGGTTGAAAGCGAAACGGGACACGAAGGTATACGCGACTTTCCAACGGGCTTAGAACTCATGGATTTACGCTACTCGTGGGGAAATTTCAAGTTTATGAGAAGATTACCGAGGCATTTTACTCAAATGAGATACGTTGGATTAGGGATGGACTCATCTGAGAGTCTCGTGCCTGATGTTTTTGCGAAAATGAGGAACTTGCGCATTCTTGATTGCACGGATTGCGAGACACTGACTGATGACGCACTTCTCAAGGTCTCGATGAATTGTCCGCACTTAGAATCGATATGCTTGAACGAATGCAAGAATTATCGGGGAAAACACCTTTATCGAGTCCTAAATAACTGTAAATCTGTTTCAACACTGCTTATTCGTTTCACAAAGATCACCGATGAGGCACTGATGGCAGTCAGTTGGGAAAAGACCGTGGTGAAAGAACTCGATTTGACCGGTTGCTATTTCGTGACAACCACTGGCCTTTCAAACGTGATTTCTAGGTTGCCGGATATTCGCTATTTCAAAATGAATCAATGCGGATTTCGGCACATTCTTCATTTGAGAATTTACCAAGAAGTTCGACCAACGTTGGCCTACAAATGTTTAGAGACTTTAGATCTGCGATGGAACTTTCTACTGTCGGCGGAATGTTTGGAGGGCGTTCTGCGACATTCCCCGTCCCTACGATACTTAGGAGTTAGTCACTCCCCAAGGATACCCCCCTCAGTGATAGCTGAGATGTTTAAGTTTGTTTCCAAGTTGAGGATTTTGGAGTTTGGACCTCTTCGTAAGGAGGCCTTGTCAGAAAGTTCATTAGTACCCAACCTTATCAAGATGTGCCCTCTTATTGAGGCAGTGTCTTTAATCAATTTCAAGTTGATTGATGATTCTGATGCGGACTTGGTCCAGGAACTTAGAGACAAATGCAAACACATCAGGGAAGTTAAACTCTGCAGTCCCCGCATTGAGCACGTCGCCATTGGTAACAGCGGAGAAACCATCACTGTGGAACGACTCCTTATCAAAATGGAGAGCCTACTGCCAAGCCCAGAGAACACACTTGGCAAAGTAATCAACAAATTGCATGTTTAGGTAGTTCTTTTTTATAATCATTAAAAATCTTCATTGTACATAGTAGCCAGATGTTGCAGATAAAAAAAAATATATTCATTCTATTTTCACAATCAGAAATTAATATTCAACATTACAGTAATCACCAGTGTATGATATGAGACATTTTCAACTTATGGATTAAGTTGATCATATCGATTTAAAGCCATTCCTTTGTTAGCAGATGGCCGTACTTAATGGACTTCTTAAATATCAGCATTGGATTTTATTATTCCTTAAAAAAATCTCAAATTTCAAATTCTAATGAATTTCCTTTGGGAAAAACATCCAATTTAAAAGAAATTTTACTTCGCCCAGATACTGCAAGGATCTCTCTTTTTTTCACCGAGGTTGAATTCAATTGTGGTTCATTTCTATCTAGTTACTTTTTCATTCTTTGGATTTATTTCTGTCATCAGTTGTGTTGATTTTGAGAAGACAGTCTGTACCTTTATGAAGATTTTTTTCTCAGTAAGTTTTTGTGTTTTGCAACTGAAATTTGGTGTATTACATTAGTTCCCTCTGTTTGCTGCCCAAAATTCACCTCAAACAGGATTATTGTCAAATTGATTTCACTTTTCTCAACATTGTAAATAATGCCAACATAGCAGAGTGTGTACCAAGCAAGCTGGACAGTGCAGTGTTGTAAGGAGAATTAATATAGCAGTGATGGACCAGAAAGGAAAGTTTCTCAAGAAATTCCCTATGCATTATTTATCCAACATTGTCCTTCCAACTAGTCTTTGTTAAGATTTGCAACACCACTATTTCTTGTGTGGGAGTTTTTTTTCTAAATGTATTCAACCCTGTTGTTATGGAAGGGCCTAATTATATGTTTAAAATGATGTCTTTGTTTCCAACAGTGGCACAGGTAAATTTGACTTGAGAGTTAAGCCACACTGAATAATCTTAAGTCACCTGAGTATTTCCCTCTTTCTTTTAAGCTAAGGGCTTTGCCATTTCAATTCCTCTAAAGGATACTTTAAACCAACAATTTTTTTGTTCAGTAGTTTTGAATAATTCACAATAGGTAATTGTATATCTCACACTTTACTCACAAATTTAAGTCATTACTTGAAATCATTTACATAACAGGCCCTTCTGCTAGTCATTTCTTCTTTGTCTTGCTGTAGAAGTCAAGTGGTGTTGCAAATCCTTTGTCTAAATGTTGTGTAAGGACTTTAAAAGAAAGAAGTTATTCTAGGACTGGATCCTAAAAATATAGCTCAAAATGTTGAAAATCTATAATGACCAAAAAAGAACATTTAATGCAGTGTATTTATATCATATAATTATGACAAATTTCGTTGAAAAATTGTTAAGAAATCACAATGTTAGTGGTGTATGAGTGGTGTAGCTCAAACTATGTAAATGATGTTTTGAAGAGTTGCCAAGAAAATTGTTATACAATAGCTTGTATGTGTCATCTCTTTCTTTTTGATGTATTTGCTAAAGAAATTATGCCTACTGCCATTCAAAAGTTCTGACAGGTATGTTGTTATTAAGCTACCTTTTTACTTGACACCCAATTAAGCAAAATGCCACAAATCATACTGAAAGTCGATTACTTCAAAATTTTGATGATCCATATCACTTTTATATCAAAATTTTAAAATATTTTTGCATAGTAAGCTACATTTGGAGACACATTCGTTGATTTTCTTTTATGTTTCGTAGTTATGATGGGCATTTTCTGTTTCTGTAGAAAAAAAAAGATAAATAATTTTTTTGAATGAACAAGCTGAAGAGCCGATGCAAAGAGTCACACAACCTTACAACTGTCCATAGCAGCCCAAAAATTCCAATTTCAAACCAGTAGTTATCTGTTTCCATTTTTCCACAAGCTAAGTACCCTCAATCCTATTTGTGTCCCATTTATTTCAACAAATTTTGACTTAAAACATCATTTGATAAGTGCAAGCTATTGCATGTCTCAGTTCCTGTTTTCCCTCCCACACAAAAGCCAAATAATTGCAGAAAATTAAACTCGCCATTCGATAAATTTTTTTCCCAAAAGAAATTTGGTTGCATAGAGACCAATAAATATCGTGATAAGTGATCGTAAAATCGTATTATATAACAGGTCAGGTAACATGTTTTTGTTTTTTTGTAAAGGGGTCATATGACAGGGTTATCCACAGGCCTATTCACCCGTTCAGCAGTCTGGTCGCTAGTTTTCATGCCTGTCCCCGGTCAACATGGCGGACGTAATGATAGCGTTTCTGGAGCTGAACAGTTTGTTTTAGGGAGACTTGCCTACTGTTCAGTTTTTACTCCCGTAGAAATATTTAAGATTACTTATTTGATGTTTGCTTACATGGAGAGGCCATTTTAAATAGCTCAAATGGATCCTGAAGTTGCGAATCGCCTCCACAAGGAAGGCGCGACCCTGATAGTTTTGGACGTTCCCGAAGGCACCGAATTCGGCATTGATTACTTTTCATGGAACGTTGGTCCACGATTTAAAGGAGTAAAAATGGTTCCACCCGGGATTCATTTTATATACTACAGCGCAGTAGCTGGTGGAGGAGAAAGTGCTGCGAGAACGGGCCTATTTCTATTCACAAAGTGTCAAGATATCTTTGTTATGAAATGGGATCCAAGCAGTGAGGATGTGATTCAAGTGGTTTGTAATGAAGAAGAATTAACAAGATATAGGCAAGGTATTGTATTTTTACATTTTCATGCTGATATTTTTTAACCCATGAGTGACCAAGATAGGATTTCTCCTTACAAGATAAATTTATCACTCAGACAAGTAATGAGAATAAAGAAAAATATACTTGTTTTAATTGATCCAATACCAAACCTTCAGTACCAACATCATAAGAATTGTATAGCAGACAGTAAGGAGAATTACTAATAAGAACCTTCACAGCGCCTCTGTCTACTAAGGGGTATAAATGGTTACTGGCAGATTATCAGGGAAGTCCAATGAAATGATTTAGGGTAACCTTGCAATGGACTGGCATCTCATCCAGGGGAGAGTAAATATATTCCTAGTGGCTTCTTGCTATAGACGCCAGAATGAGCTTGGCTTGAGTACAGACTTTACTTTTCACTGTTAATGTAGTGTGCTAATTGGTAGAGTTTGAACATGCATGAAAATTGTATATGTGCGTCTGATAACCTTGTGTCTGAGCATATAAAATGCATCTGCACAGCAAACATGTAGACTGATACTATAGAGTGCTGAAAGTTTAAAACAGAGAATTCTGTGAATCACTAGCAGTCATGGTGCTCACAATATTTTTAACACAGTTTGTGATTTTATTTTTTGACATGTATAGGTTTACAAGATTTGGATTCTTTTCTTGGTCCCTATCCTTATGAACACTTGAAGAAATGGGTCTCCTTGACCAGCCATATAACTAAAGATTTACTAGATAGACTTCAACCTGTATGCAAAAAGATTTCTTCAGCAACTGAGCTTCCCCAACAGCCATTGCATACAAGAGCAAAGCCTTCAATGTGTGAGGACACCATTTCTTCATTTGCGCATGATCCAGATTCTGTGATAAGATTTTCAGAGATTCCCAAACAGAAGTTCCCAGAGGGTGCCTCTCCAGCAGAAATTAGCAAACACAACATGGACAATAGTTATGTTCTTGGTAACATGATCAGTGGCATGAAAGGTAAGTATTTTTGTGGGACCCGTAACTTGTTTAAGGAGTTTTAACTGTTAAAAATTATGCTCTCCTCCTCATAATCCTGTAACTCCTGGGTCAAATTTTTAATTCTCCTTACTGTCAACCATACAATTCTTATAATGTTAGTTCAGAGAATTTAGTATTGAATCAACAAATTATCCCCAAATTTATATTTTTCTTTATTCTCATAACTTATCTGGTTGATATTGTATTGATATTGTAAGGAGAAATTCTGTCTTGGTCACTTGTGGGAGTTAAAGGGTTAAAAGTGAATCTTAAATTTTTTTTTCTGAGCTTGTTTTGATCAAACTATGGAAAGATACATGACAGCTTCATTCAGCCAATTTTTGATCTGAAAGTTTGCAGATTGCCTCAACATTTTGATTTCTAAAAGTAATAAGCATCTATTGTGATACCTCCACAAAGTATCACCCCTTAATCAAACATTAACCCTTTACACCCAACATCATAATGCATATTCTCCATACTGTTCTCTACACATTTCCTAGGTTCTAACAAGGAGAATTTGTATTAAAACCATCCAGAAATTCGTTAGTCACTGATCATTTCCTTCATTCTCATGACTTAAACATTTGATTCAAGGGATAGGACCTGATCATGGTTTTATCTGAATTGTGTCTTTCTTGTTTCCTTTTTCTTTGCTTCTTTTTCTTTTCTTTATCATCCAAGACAGAAAGGAAATTGTTGGTGAACTTCAGTTTGCCTTTGTGTGTTTCCTTGTTGGCCAAGGTAGATATTTTGCGTTTATTTATTTATGTTCATTAATGTAAATATTATAGTGCAGTTAAAAGCTGTTTTTTCAAGAGTGTGGTTGCCCTACCTGTGTCACTTCCTGCATGGTTATTAAGGGCAACTATACTCTCTATGTAGTTTATAATTGTTGTAGTTTATGTGTAACTGTTGGGTATAGATAAAGTTGTTGTTGTTTTGATGAGCCATTCCATTAGTAGACAACCTATTTGACCTCAGCCACAACTAAATTTCATTTTTGAGGGGGATATTTCTTGATATTTTGAGTTGTTTTCTGACTTTCAAACTCCTGAATATTAAGTCTCAATAAAGTATAAAAACAGCAGTGAATATAAACCTGAGAGAGATAAAACATCGCTGTGAGTTAGACTTTGTTTTGGAGAAAAAAAAACAAGCGGTACCTCACTGAAATGGATAATTAACTAAAATTTTGCATTTTTGGCAGTGTATGATGCATTTGAACACTGGAAAAGACTTCTCAATCTGCTGTGTAGTTGTGATGAAGCTTTGTCAACTAACAGTGAGATATTTGATGCCTTGATAGGTAAGTAGTCTGTTTTATCACTGAGGTTTTCAAAGCACATACCAATCAATTTGAAATCTATTTATAATTTGGGAAAGAGTGACTAAATTGTGTATGGTGGAGTTAAATGGTAAAATTGGTGGATTTCATCCTTCTACTCCTAAGATCTCATTAGTTATTTTCCTTACTGTCTGCCATACACTTCTTAGGAAGTTATTTTGGCAAATTTGTTAAATTAAATCGGTTATTAATCCCCAGTTGATATTTTTTTCTCTATTCTCATCTATTGTCTGCTTTATACTGTAAGGAGAAATTCTTTCTTGGTCACTCATGGGAGTTGAAGGGTTTATAAGAGACTTAATCTTTTAACTCCCAGTTCAAATTTGTAATTCTCCTTACTGTCAACCATACAATTCTTATAATGTTAGTTCAGAGAATATAGTTTTGGATCAGCCAATCATTCCCCAAATTGATATTTTTCTTTATTCTCTTCACTTGTCTGGTTGATCTTGTATTGATATTGTAAGGAAAGTCATTCTGTCTCGGTCGCTCATGGGATTTAAAGGGTTAAAGTGATAAGATACTGGCACAGGATATCTTCTATGTGAAAAAAATATTCGAGAGTTTTTGTCTGTTAAAAGATGGCTGACAAGGAAAAATCCTAAATTCCTTTTGGGAATAAAACCTGATATCCAGGGATTCCCAGCTCCTATGCTCTACAACTGAATCACAGAGACTCTTTGGTGAGGTGGGCCAATACAAGGTTCAATTGTGACATGCATCCTGTGTACCATTAGGATCAGCCATGTTGACATACATCATACACAATGGAAAGGTCATAAATTTCAGCTTGGTAATGAAACAGAAAAGATTTTTCTTTGTCTCATCTGGAGTGTGGGGTAAAGAGTGTGGGCAAAAGGAAAAGAGTATTTTTTATTAGCTATACCAACCATCTTGTCAAGTAATGCATGTCGACAAGATGATGTTAATCCAAAACAGTCTCCTAATTTTTGTAACTTAAGACTTTTTTCCTATTTGGGGAGAAGGTGGAGATATGCAGGACTGAGAAAAGAAAAGACCCTCTGTCATTGCTACTGTATTGATGCATCAGACTGCTTTGTATGAGGGGTACTTGTTACAAAACCTTAAATGACTCCTGATCAATTACTGAATTCTCCTTTCAAACAATCCTGTATTCCCTTGTGAAACTAAAGGAGAAGTTGATGTCGCATAAAAAGCCACTGAGAGTTTTATTCCCTACAACCCATCAGTTGAACATTATAGCCACATCACACAAGTGCAGTAATGTTGGTTTTTTTATTCTTTTTTTTCTTTGTATACAAGTTTTTAATTTTTTTCTTTTGCTCTTTATTAAGTTACTACTCTGCCTTGTTTCGCTTAGGTGTGTTGCATTTTCAAGTGCAAGAAATTCCAAAAGATTTCTTTGTGGACATTGTGTCAACCAACAATTTCCTTACCACAACATTGCAGGTAATGGCCAGTGAGGATAAATATTATTTCCTTTGTAAAGAGTCGTAATTGCTAACAGGAGAACCTGTTTGAAACAGATAGCCTTGGCACTATCACCAGTGTCAGCTGAATACAGCTTTAGTGAACTGCAGGATGAAATTAGTGTTGTAGTCTTGAAATGGAACAAAAAGAACATTCAGCTAGCTTTAGAACCTAACCCTTCCAATTCAATCGAATAACGCGTCACAACAAGAATTTTAAAGGTTTTAATAATGAAAAAAAAATTTAACCGGTAACTGAACGTTATTACCCCACTAAAAGTATATCTAATAGTTAACTACATTAAGGTACATAAGTTTTAGATACTTCCTATCCCTAACATCATAAAAGGATAATCGAGATGGTGGAGAGGTGATGTTCATTTAAAGAAATTTATGAAGAGAAGTCATTACCAAAACTAGACACCCAGCGGAACTTAAAAATCGATGAGGCTGAGGCCTCGAGAAACTGTTTCCGTCCCGAGCCTCCCGCAGCTTCATTTTCACGCTTGACCCTTTAAAACGCTTCCACAGGGTGTTTCTGTTTAGGTCAATTTTTTTTATACTTTTATGAAACGCTCTATGGAGATTTAGATTTCCGAAATTAAGATGTAAAACAACACTTATTATCCCTGAAATTATCTTGTATTAGATCGTATTAGGCATCTTTGAGCTTAGCCGAAAATCTTCCTAATCCTTTAGTCCTGTTACTTACGTGATTGTTTTGTTCTGTATTTCTTTGTTTGTATAGTAATTATCTTAACTCGATGTCGTGTATGCTGTTGTTTATCGCCTGGTCAACATTTCCCCCGCTTTACTCTATTTTATTCTCCATTCGCTTTTTCCTCATTCCTTGCTTTATTAATCGTTCAGGTGTTTTTCTCCAACATGGAGAGTTCGACGACTGCGGATAAAAAGTTAGTGGACAAGGCGCGGCGATTTCGGCTTCATCTAACCAAACGATTCAACTGGGATTTTGAGAGCGAGCCGGAGGAGTTTGCACCAGTTGTGGTTGAAACATGATGTGTAAACACCGCTTGTACTGAAATCGGTTCGGAGCTGGATTACACTGGTGAAAAATTTGTCATCAGCAGTGAATGTAAACTTTTTTTTTTCTTTGTTGGGCCGTCAGGAAAACCGTCAAAAGGTCACAAAGTCATTCCCTTGTTTATGTTAAAAACTAGAGGGTTCGCTGGTTTTCCAGGAATAGCGATTGGGACGGCATAAGGTGTGTGCGTTGAAGAAGGGAATCATCTCGATTGAACTACCGCAGTGCTTGCTATTACAAACCTGCATTGCCTAGCGCGCACACCTGCAGCCAGCGAGCTGTAGATTTGCTCTAGAGGTATTCGCGATGGCAAATATACTAGACAACAAAGCGCTACCTGTTCAATTTTCCCTGCGTGCCTGGCTGGCGTGCTCTGGATAAAAAAATCTCTCCCACTTCAATGAGTGTCTGCGACATGGCTACTGTTTATATGGATATTACTCGTGATATTTTTTTTTTTAACACAAATCTGAACGCCATCATCATAAAATTCTGGCCGTGCTCTTACTGGCAATATCAGTCAAAATTTATACCTCTGATTTAAGTGTTTAACTGTGAAGCGGTGTTCATTCAAAGTAATGAAACTTTCAACAGCCCACTTAAACGGCACGTGCCCTAAAAGAAGTATGTCTGCTTTTTCTGTGAATAGGATTCTTTTATTTCCTTTTCTCATCTTAAACTATGATAGATTCAAAACCGTGATGAAGAAAGGAATTAGTAAATGAGACAACTATTTTTTTTTTCTTTTTACCGCAAAAGTCATCGTGTACCATGAAATTCCAGACCCAGTACTCTACAGTATAGTGAAACTCTCAGTAAAAAAAAGCTCCACGTTCGACTGGACGGCGTGTTTTTGCTTCTTATTCTGTTCACTTACGATGCCGGCTTGGGTAAGCCTTCCGTGCTTATTTTTCCAATAAGCCGGAAATTCTTAACCCTTCCCTTAATCTACCACATGCAATATTTTAAAATAAATGTTACTATTTTGCTCGAAATAGCGATCGAGCCCGGTACATTTCACATGGGATTTAAACTCCCCCTCTGTCCGCCTGCCTCACATCAGACCTATCTCCTTCTTTCAACCGCCCTGGCCTTCCCCTCCCCCGAGGGGGAAAAACCGTCTGTCTTCAAAGCGTGACCCATATTAGCTCCGTAAATTTCCATGTTACACTGACATGTCTCAGTCCTTATACGAGAGTTCCTTTCCTCAACCTCCCTAAACCCCTTCTTCCCATCTTCCCTGATCCGCAATCACAACCGAAGCTGAGTTCCAACACAAAGCGTCATGGTAAATCAATGAAAAATTTGTGTCGGAACTATTGAATGAAATCTGACAACCTAACCACAGGGGGTGGCGGCTGACCCTCGTCCCTGTCACGATTATGAATGACTTCCCACAGTTTGGCACACCAAGTGAATGTTGAACAAGGGAGATACACCAGCAAAATGTCGTGTCCTCATCGCAGCGCTGTAGTGGTGATTTTGTGTCTATTTTCGCTGTTCCCTGGTTCAATTCGAAGTTCCCCCGGATACGGTATGTGTATGCTTTAAATATTTCATTGTTTTCTTATGCGAGGTACTCGGAGTGACCGTGTTCATCTTTCATTCTACTTTTGCGATCCTGTCAAGATAACGATAACTGTTTTTGTCTTCCATTGGATTCAATTGTGAATTCTTCCATGGCTGCTGTTTGTATGATCTAGGATAATCAGTTGTCTATCAATCACTCATTTACGGCAAACGTTTCTAATTCCGTCATAAAAGGTGTTTATACCGTGCATTCAATCCAAGATTCCTCGTAAAATCATGGCGAAATGATAGCATTTAGGTTTAATCATTAGAGTTGTAACAAGACTCCGAAGTTGAAGCTTAGAGCTCAGGAATTTATTATCAAAACACCACGAATACTTGCCTTTAAATACCTCTAGCAGAGAGCATAAAGCTACGATGAAGTAATTCTTCCATTAGGAGAAAAATCTGGAAGTTGCCGTAAAACACAAGTATGTCAATTACAGTAGTATCATTTACAGATACTCTATCAAGAACCTGGTTAACTGCGAAGTATTTTATCATAAACAGCGACAAAAATGCAGGCTAATGGATTTAATAAACCCCAAATTAGTATTTTTGTTTTCCCGGTCACCATGTACATTAAACAGAAACATAGCCGCGTATAAATTCTGGAAAAAAAAACGTATTCAACCTTTCGCTAAGATTTATATTCTGCCTGGCTCGTCTACCAGAGAAGCAGTGTCGTCATGTTCCACCTCCTTCGCGGTCGCGCACGAAAATCGCAATTCGTGGTTTTCCTTAACATCGTCAAGTGATCTTTGCGTGCCACCATCCCCCTACAAAACCTAGAACAAGAGTGATGATCGATTTGTTTAACGTAAGAGTGTGAATTAAGAGACTACAGATGTGTCACCGATTCGCTCAGTTACACTCGTGCTGATGATAAGAACCTCATATACCCTCGTTACGGATTCGCGCAGTATGTTAGCTTTAAATATGCTATGATTTTAACAGTCCATTCCTTTGTCATCTACGAGACTGTGCCGCATTTAAACAGCCTAGACTGAGAGTTTGTGAGTTTGTTAAAATATTATGTCTTGAACACAATAACAAAATGGAAAGGTATATCTTCAACAGAGTGATGATTTTGATACAGCCTGTCCAAACTTTTGACGAATTTCCTCCTGCCTTTCGTTCAGTATTCTGACGCAGTGGGTGGGGCTACAAAGCTCGCACCACAATATAATCCCCTCCTCTATCAATGTGGGATAAAGCAAAAGTTGCATGGAAAGACCCGACTTCGGACAAGTTTCGCAATAGCCCAGTAGGAGAGTTAAAAGCTGGGATTTTATTTCGATTCAATTTTCGTCATTACTTCTGCTCTGATCTACACGCGTGATCCTGATGTTAGATCATGTTACCACAGATTTTCTCTGATTACGGGCGATTAGCGCCGTCGGATTAGATTCTGCGGAACAATAAATAGAGCTATCAGAGTCCCAGTAACGCTCAATGAAAGAGTGATGACAAATTTCGTCTCAAGTGATTGAAAACAGGAACATCGGGAACACCACTTAAGGTTAGACTATTAACAGCATGCGTTTCACGTTAATGCTTCTTGACACCAACCTGACAAAAGTTTCCTGGTGTTTTTTGAGAATTATCGGTGGTTTAATGTTTCTTAATATGACCTTTCCTAAAAAAAAAAAAGGCTTTTAATAAGCTCTTAACACAAAACAAACGTGACCTTGACCTATGCCGAGGCGCGGTGTTGTGTTGCGAAGATGCTTGCATACAACCTCAAAGGGTTTTTTTTTTCTAAAATACTTCAAAATGCAATACCTTGAGAATGAAATTAGATTACCTTCCTTCCTTTTTCACTCTTTTTTATTCCCTCCCATCTAAAGGTTCTATCAGTGAACTTTCTGGTTTAGTTCTCGAGCAAACCCCTGTTAGTGGCACCTTTGTAACTCAAACCCTTCCCATATCATGTGAAGCTTGGCAAAGCTGTGGCTCTGAGTCACGCAATGGCACTGGAGGGATGGGTGGACAACGAGGCGGGGCCTATCGTGTGATAACCATAAACCTATCGATGCGCTTTCGAGCAAATAAAAAATTGTTGTCTCAATTAGAATACGAATCGGAAAAAATCGGAAATTAAGCCCCCAATTTTTTTTTTCCGGAAAAACACACAGACACTTGTTTTTTTCACCGGGAGTCGCTGTTTTAAAATACCCGTTTGTTGCTGAGCAACGACCAGCACCCACTTTTGTTCGTTGAATAGGGGGGGATAAACATTTATCCGTTTGTTACAGTGGTGGCAAAATTTTTGCCGTGTTGTTGGAGTACATGTGCTGTGTTTAAATTCATCTGGCCTAGTTTGGATAGGACTAGATTGTAATTGCTCCTTTTCTAATCAAAGCGTGTTTTGTTTCTCTGAATAGTCTTCGAACACAACAACTACTTTTACAAGTTTGTATTTCCCGAGGATGACACTCGAACTTGGTACGAAGCGGAAACGCTTTGTAAGACGCGTGAAAACGGCCATTTGACAAGCCTTGTATCTAACAGAGAGATAGAATGGGTAAATGGTGTGATAAAAAACGCCGTACGAGATTCGCAGACCAAAGTCAGGCTTTGGATCGGAGGGAACGACCAGAGAATTAATGATGTATGGGATTTCCTCGACGGGGAACCTCTACGGTATAATGTTGTTCCCTGGGCGCCCGGACAGCCATGGAGACCCCTGGATGTACATTACGCCTACTGTGTCTCTCTTGAGTTTGAAGGTGAAAGCTCAAGATGGTACGTTGAGGACTGCTTTAAGGCGCACGGTTATATCTGCAAGTCAAAGCGTAAGTTACAGTGGTGATAGCCCTTTGACATACGATGTGGGATGGGTAAGGTGACAGTAGTTGCGAAGCGAAAAAACCAAGGGGCCTTGGGTGGGGTCGTGTAACGCAATTTTCAGTGGTCAGAGGGTTTCGTATCAGGCCACGTAAGGTCTCGGTTCCACGCTGTCAAAGAAATTCTTCAACGCTGGCATTCAGTGCCATAACCTAGATTCATAAAGATGTCATCGCAATGTGGTGAGTGGTTAGGGCGCTGGACTTGTAATCTGGTGTCTCGGGTTCAAGCCCCTCACCCCACCCGGCTACCAGCCCCACGGGGGGAGTGGTCAGTTTATCATTATCATCGCAAAAATAAGCTACCCATGGAATACCAAATGTTGTCAAAATATTAATCGAGGCCAATTAATACCTTTTAAGTAGCAAACGGTGATTTAAAAAAGAAACTCGACATGCCTGGAGAATCGGATCCTTCAAAATCTTCCAATTTTAGTACATGACTTTTTTTTTGCTTTCTGTTAATGGGAAATTCCCTCTCTTTTTGCAGAGCCGTCTTCAAGAATCACAGAGGAAAAAAGATTCGGATACAGTAAGGGCCTTGAAATTCAACAAAATTAACAGGAAACAACATATGATGTTTTAAAAACATTTTGTTGAATTTGATTTGCGTTTAATTTAAGGTTTCGATCATATCTAATTGCCTTCCTGCTGTCCTCGAGACCTAGCCGGCCACACTGGTATCCTGTTTTCTAAGGGAAGAGGATGAGTGGCGGGGATGATATTTCCACTATTTTGCAAGATCAATCTTTGTCCTTTGTTTAGACATAAATAGTTCTAGATATCTTATCTTTACGCCCACCAATTCTCATTAACGAGAGCCTTGTGAATTTCAGGTTGGGAGTGGGGAAATCACATTTACAAATTCTTCCCTCTACCGTGGACCGGTCTGAGTTGGACAGAGGCGGAGGAGTACTGCTCGGTAATGGAGAAAGGCCATCTGCTAAGTATCCGATCTCGGAAAGAGAGCCGATGGGTCACCGACAGAATCCGACAAATTCGTCAGGTAATCGGCTTCCGAAAGTTATGGATTGGAGCATCGGATTTTGGACATGAAGGAGAGTACGAATGGTCCGCTAAAAAACTACCTGTTACTTTCCAACGGTAAGAAAAGGGACAGATGTATTAAAATCGAAAAAGGAAAAAAATGGGAATTCATGATTGTAATGATTCAATCAAAAGTCACTCAACAAAGGATAAAAAGAAAAATGGAAAGGATAGGAGGGATGGAGAAGGATTGGGGGTACGAAAGTTGAAGGTTGAAAAGGGTGGAAGAAGACAAAGGAAAGGACATAAAGGACAGATTAAAATGCGGGAAGGGAAGAGAAGTTGTAGCACGAGCAGAAAAGAAATAACTGAAGCCTAAATGGGGAAGGAAATCGAACAGGGGAGAGGGTAGGGTGCTAAAGAGATGAGAGAGCATGAGGAAAATAAATTGTTCTTTTTTGTTCTTTTGATTTGAAATATTTTTGTGATAGAGCGGCAATTAGCCGGTATCCTGGCTATTGTGTTTACTGATGTACTCCTCGACTTTAGGCCGTTCCCATGAAGGACATTTCGAAGTTAGCCGTCACCCTATTCAGTCATCTTTTTAGCATCAATTCTTACTTTGTTTTTGCTTCTTGTGTAGATGGGCTCATGGCGAGCCTTCTCATTTCTCTAAACATCACAGAGAGGACTGTATAGCTATTCGTTCCCATCCTGATTGGGGAAAATGGAGTGACGAGAGCTGTGTGATGGAACATCCCTTCATATGCAAAACAAGACGTAAGTGGTGGTGAATGGTCCTTATTTGAGCCTCGGTTTGATTTCCTGGTCCCAGAGAAGGGGACTAGTACATCAGGTCGAGGCTCACTCGTAAACTTATCGCTTACAATAAACGAACAAACAAAGTTTTCTTTCAAGTTTTGGCTAAACCGCCAACGTTTCTCCTTTCTTTTAAAAAAGTCGCTCTTATTTTAAGAAATTTGCTGTCGCTCGATGAGGCTCCGTACGAACGTGAGTTTCAAAAGACGAGACGTTTGTTTCACGACTTTTCTTCAGGGAACTTTATCGGTAAACTTAAACACAGTATTAGTCTTTTAAGTTTTTATCTTAGATCATATAAAAGACGCTATAGTGTTGTCAGTCGTCTTATAGTTTTGGAAAAATTTTGTCGGCAGTTTGACCATAAGGAGATATAGGGACCTCGAGGTTGCTTGAGCGCGTTAAAAACCAGGACCGGGAGGTCTGGGTTCGAGAGCTGACTGGGTCATTGTTTGTGTCCCTGGGTAAGAAACTTGCATCTTACATTACCCTTCCCCACCCAGGGACATAACTGTTGACCAGCGGAAAGAAACTTGTGAAAGAAAACAAAAGAAACAAAACAAGAGGCGGGAGTGGAGGATAGGGGAAGGGGTTGATTTCGCCGATAGAGCCTAACCACTTTCTTTTCCTATTTCACAGTGTGTCTTGGTAAAACAGACTTGGCATTTATGGTCGATTCCTCGACATCCGTCGGCGAAAGTAACTTCCAGGAAGCTAAAGACTTTGTGTGGTCCGTAGTCAGAAACTTTCCAATCTCAAACAACGACACACGTGTTGCTGTCATTCGCTACTCCTCACAAGCGGATGTGATTTTTGATTTTCAATTCAGTGCCAAAAACAATGTACCCTTTCTCAAAGAAACGCTTGACAATATGGAATACGTTGGCGGAGAAACCAAAACTGAGTTAGCATTGGATCTCGCGCGCACGGGCCTATTCACAGAAGAGAGAGGATCGAGAACAAAAGTACCGAAAATTCTCGTGGTGATGAGTAATGGAAAATCGGACGACGCCTTAGCTGTTGCGCGTACATCCATGGCCTTGAAAAGACAGGAAGTGACCGTGGTGGTGGTGGCAATTGGTGACGAGGTGGACTTGGAGGAGCTGCTGTTAATGGCATCGACCCCTGAAGACGTCATAAGTGTTAGCACATTTAGTACGCTGAAGAAACGGGTGGGAAAAATCAGGGATAAAGTCTGTGACGGTGGGTGGATTGATTACGTTAAAACACAAGCATGCATCACTAGAAACAGTCTTTTTTATGGTTTTTTCCTTTTTTCTTTTCATAATTGAACAGTACAAACAAACCACAACGATTAACGATCGTTGATTACTACAAGCAGTCCTTTTCGGTTGGTGAAGTCGGTCGTGCAAATAATAAGGAAAAAAGAGATCAGTGGAAATGATTGATGTCAGCGCGCATCTCGGAACTGTCTTTTCATGTACCCCACCCCCAGAGTTCTGTGTAGCGTGCTCCCATACTTTATTTTTTCTGGCTTTTTTTGACTCTCGCCGACTGCTCATTGTCCAAATTGATTGTTTCTACAGTTATTTTAGGACCTTACGAGTCAACCTTCTGCCTTTTAAGTTTAATTGTTTCTTTGATCTTGCAGGCTTAGTCTGGTAGGAATTTTCTTTTTTTATATATAATTTCATTATTATTTTCAGAAATGGTTGAGAGTCAAAATAGGAGAGAGCTTGAGGAGGAAGAGGAAAACAGCGTTAAATAACCTGTACGTTGTCGAAATGACTTTTCAATATCAATATGGCGGCTGTAGTAGCAGTAAATTGTAAATTCAATAGATTTTTTATTTGAAAATTAGACGCACAGTTTCATATTATCATCGTAGATTTTTTTAAAATTTATTTATTGACGCTGCATTGAAGAACTTTTGCAAATTACTAGAGCTGGCACAACGGACGTGAATATAAGATGAAGACTGGGCCTGCACGCTCCAAGCAGCACAGGCATATTTTTTTAATGTCCGCATCACCAAAAAAAAAAAAAAGAAAAGAAAAAAAGCTGATCAAAAGAAAAAATAACTCCATGCGGAATGTGTCGAGAAAGTGATAGTTCATTATCGTATGTCCATTGAAAAAAAAAGAGAAGCTTGTGATTGATATTGTAATAGAGGTTGCGATATTTTTTTGTTTTAAAAGTTTGCACGTTTCGAATGCATCAATTGTTATTTTGGCTAGATTTTGTGCGCAGTTAGTCCGTAAAATCCAAGTTGGAAATAAAAGTTACTATGCTCCCAAAACAATAGCTTTGTGTTGCCTCAGTTGAGATGATATTATTTTACTAAAAATAACTGTAATTTTCAAACCTCAGATATTTGCACAAGCAAACAAACGCACTATAAATAACTCAGGAGTCCAATAAATGTACCATAAAAACCGAAATTTATATTTTTGCAGAGATGGCAAGAAAACCATCTCTTTCCATTCCAAAATGCTTCACAGTTACGGCTGCCCTTAAAATCATATTGTAGATGAAATAAACAAGTTAATCTTAGGGCATTCTCTAATGCAAATTTTATCGAATACATTAAAAAAATTCCTTATTATACCCATCATCGCGTCTAGGATTCTTCTCCTTCCTGATGAGAGAGAGAGAGAGAGAGGAACCCTGGGGTCGAGGTCGAATGCTGCACAAGCAAGCGCATGCCCAGTTACCCCTTTACCAAGGGGTAGCGAATCGATCACGATTTACTAAATACACACAGTAAATTCTAACTCCACTTCTTTCTTCACGACACACCCATTTCTTTAGCGGCCATCAGTACATTGCACTCCTGAACCACCTAGATTAATTTTCCAGTGTTCTAGATGAGAAAAGGTAATGTAAAATTCTATTCAGCAGTTCAAATTATTTAGGCTAACAATCGTTATTAAGTTCACTCCAACGACTTGCCACAGTCACTGCAAAACTTGTCTCCAATTTTGCTCGGGTGCCCACAATGCCTACAGAATCTTGTTCCCGGCTGAGATGCCCCATTCCTCTGCTGTGCGGGGTTAAGCGAGAGAAGAGCCGACGTGCCAGGCCTGTTAAAAAAATACCCCGCAACGACGGGAAACTGGAACCTATCTGCCATTGACGGGCTACGTTCAGGTGGGCTGCACGTGGAATGAACGGGCTGAAATGCGCTAGGTGTATTGGGGCTTTTGTCGTTCGGACTCTTCAACGACTGCGCTTGCGCAGCAAGAGCTCCTGGAAACATATACGACGGAGACTTGGCGATGGGAGAGAACGCTGACTTAGCCTGATTGCCGTCGCAGGGGATAAAGGAAGCAGAACCGTAGCTTCTAAGAGGAAGAGGCAGGCTAAATGGTCTTTGATTGTTCTCCGGTAGAAGAGACTCTATAGCTTTGACCAGGTCTTCTTCACAAGCCCCAAGGATGAGCTCTAGAATGGCTCTACTTTGATCAGGAAAAATCCGCTGGAGAAGTTCTAAAGAAAATTTAAATGCTTCCGTTTCTTTCCTGTGGGGGGAGAGGCGGGGTACTTTTCGTCGCTCGAAATCAGGTTCTTTATCTTCATCAATGGAAGATCTCTTGTGGTTCTCTTCAGCATCTGAGCCGTGATCTTTCTCAAAATCTTCCGGACTCACTGGTTCCTCCTTGATTTTAACCTCATAGGACTCAACAGATTTTGATTGAGAGGTTATCGGGGTTTTTTTAATCTCTTCCTTTTCCAGCTCTAGACAAAGGAACGAAGACACACTCGCTTAAATTGGTAGTTTAACAAGTACGGGCTTCGTAAATTTAATAACGTAACCATAAAGCGCTAAGGGTCTTAAACTCCACGTGGAGAACAAAAAAGGGCAAAAAATATATAACCCGCGGCAAAATAGGAAAAAAACACTCGCCTCTAGCTCGTGATCTATTTACAAAGTTTTCTCGTGTTCTCTCAGCATCACAAGTGGGTTATTACGTCGGTAAACCGAAAGAAATTGGAGTCTATTGCTTAAACATATGGTGCTTTCTGTGGGAGGTTGGCAGAAAAAAAGATGAACTCCCTGACGTAAGTCGTACGTAAAGGCTATCCAGCAACAACGTACTCTATAACACATCCAGCTTTCTTAGCCTGGCAATTCAATTATTATCTAATAAATTCATCATAAATGTCTACTCAGTTCGCAACGAGTCTTGAATTACGACCAGAAATTACAGAAATTTCTTTTGCAAGGCAAATGCACACAGCATTTATGTTAAATTTGATGAATGCCACAAAAGAGGATAAACAACTTATAGTTATGCTGTATATGTATTTCAGAAATATTTTAAACAACACTTCAAATACGTTGAATTACTTGCTGGGAAGTGAAAGCTGTCAGTCCACTCGTCAAACATTCTGTCTCTTGAAACTTTCATAACATTCGTCAGATTTTGCTATTCGTGAAGGTTACTACCGATCTTTGGAAAAACTGCAGACCATTAAGAGCTTTTTTAAATTATTTCTGTAATTCGTATGAGACATTAATTTTCTTTTTTCGATTTGAAAATGAATACCATTTCGAGTGTTCCATTAGAATTTCTCATCGGTTGCTCCTTGAGTTTCTGTGGTAAGTTAAAGCTGTTCCGGAGATAGATCTATTTTACTTAAAATCAAATCCATCCCAAAATGTAAAAGCAAGGAATTTTTTTTTTGTATATTCTTTATAAATTTTCGTCTGGAAGCCTCTTAAACAGATGAGATGATGGTTCGTTGTGGATTAAAAAATAACCATGTCAGAGCATAAAATGATTATTCGCTCGTTCACTTGAGGGTTACTTAACAAATCAAATACATTTTTGATTCAATATTATTCAAGCATTCTTGTTCTTTTTCTTGTTAGCCAAATAAAGCAAACAAAAAATCGAGAGTAAAAGGATCTATATGCTAAGGCTTTACGTTTGCCGGGAATCGAGAAAATCATTAGATCGCTGGCGAACAATGATGTAAAATATAGCCGAGTTTGAACGAACTTCTTTGTCTAATTTACTTCAATGGACACTTTCCTAAAGATGGCTTAAGAGTAAAACCACCTGATTCTAAGGTAAAGAAGTCATTTATATCAGCACCCATACAGCCATCATTTATGTGGTGATCTTGTAAAGTTTCAAAGTGCGCCAGTGGTGATTCAGCCGAAAATTGATGATGAATTCTAAAGGTGCAAATATGTATCATTCATCTAAAAGGTTGTGGCCATTTCAGATTATCTTCTCTCCCAGAACATGACTTTTATTAAATTAGTATTTCCAGTACGAAATGTTTTGACGATGTACTTTCTATTCGAATCTTAGCACAAATTTAAGAGATCTTGGCATTGTTAGATCAGGCCTCGTTGCCTCTTGTGCGGTTACGTGCCTTGTTATTGACTAAACAAGGGTTAGTTTTAGCGAAGCAACTTAAATATCAAAGTCGATAAACTGAGAATATCTAACAGGAAGATGTGTAATTTATAATATTTTAATGGCATCAGTGAACAAGGATTGCAATCCCGTAAAAGCACGAAAGAAAGAGAGACAATATTATTTACACTTGTTACATAAAAAGGAAAATTTCAACCAATTGACGCAATTTTTTTCTAATGAATATTCTTTTGACTAGGGGGTGTTAAGTAAGGAAATCGTATTCCAGGCTTCGCTTTTTCTCCTGAATGCAAATACGGTCATTTTTTATGATATGTCTACCCATTTTCTGAAGAGCTAGACAATTATAAATCGACTGTCTCTAACGAAGAAAACAATATCTATCCCACGTAATGTATTGAAGCGCCTGAACGCATGTTCACAAGAACTTCGAAAAAGCACAAATTGTCCAGTGGCTTGGTAGCTAGGCGACGGGAACATCTCTTTGTAGAATCTGGCTTTGACGAGAGAAAAAACAACTTTCTAATATCGATCTCACTGTTCATTTGTTTCTAGATAAGAGCTTAGCAATTACGAAGTGTTTCTGCGCGAAAATGTCGCGAATTATTAATGTAAGTTATGTAGTACTTATGCAAGTCAGTATCCGGTATGACAGGCGTACACGATTTCTTTTCTATCATTTCGGCTACGCTTTTATCTGGCTATACATTTATATAGTTATTTAATTTTATAGCAAAAGCTTTTAAAGGGTACAATTTCCAGCTCGTCAATTTGAAAGGAACGCTTAACTAATAGCACTTATCAAGTGAACAAACAATTTTCGTAGACGTAAAAGAAAATAGAGACAGTGTAATAAAAAAGATTTTTCGCCAGCGATCAAAGAAGACTAAAAACTTCACGCGCGAAGGTTTTGGGCAAGAAACCTATGCTTGAAAATGCTAAAAAATTTTATTGATGCGAACCCTTTGTAATCGGCTTTTATCGCCACAAGAAAACTGTTTTGTTCCAGTTTGGGACAGACACAATGGCAGGTATAAAACCTGACAGACTTTAAATTCTGGTGGTTTTGGTTTTTTCTTTAGACAGTTCGCAAAAGAAGCGCCGATCGACAGATGAAACTTCATTTCGATCCTCAGACATGTTCCGGATAGAACTTTTGCTGTGTTTCATCAGTTGTGAGACACAATAGCGAACAAAGTGCACTGATTTACAAAAGAGAGGAACAAGAGCTAATTAGATGCTCTGTTGACCATATCTCGCATATTTAAGCTCCGCCATCAACATTAAAATGCAAGGGCAGTCCAAGGAAATTGAGCGTAGCTTTTCGCGTCAGTTCCACTTGGCGCGATATCAAAAAAGAGAACCTTGTCACAATTTGATAAAAGGCGCGATAAACCTTATCTAAACTGAACGCTTAAGTTTCCCGAGATGAAACGCTTTACTGTTTGCGATGGAGGCGTGTAATTGACAAGTTAAGGAACTACAAACATACATCAATTTGCTACATGTTATAAATTGTACCCGTCGGCGAAGGATTTTTACAAACGACCGGAAATTCGCTTGTAAATTACAGATTTTTAAAGGCGCGCGAATCGAAATTGCATTTTCTTGAGGAAAAAATAATGAACAATGATGAAGTAAGACGTTCGAAATACGGTGTTATGGTTCACTTACCTTGACTGTCAGCGCGGTGGTACGAGAACACGGGCTGTGGCTCTTCTGAGTGAGTTCTTGCGACACCGTGGTTAAACTGCGGTTCAGGGCTGACAAGGGGAGGTACGTACGCCTGTGCTTTCTTAGCTATCTGTACCCGCATGGTCTCCTCCTGTGTCTGCTGTCTTCTAAGCGCCACTTGCGCCGCCATGACACGCTGCCTCTCTGCGATCAGTGTGCATTGAGCACAGTTGCAATCTCGCCACCTACAATATCGCTTGTGCCCTTTTAACCATGACACCATACCGTGGATGCGACAACGGGCGCACTTAGGCATGCGAGGGGGCTTCCTCTCAGACATGGACTGTTGGATCGCGAAGGAGGTGTCTGCCATATCTTTTCCAGACACACTTGAAAATCTCTTGAAATCGATAAGCGGTTGTCGCGATGTGCACTCGACTCTGAGTGTGGTACCTCTTGACGCGACAAAGTTGACTGACGGCAAGCTTTTGTTCAAGTTATTTTTTTACATTCGAGAATTTCAAGAGCCTTTGTATACGAGCGTCATGATTGGTCCGGTGTCAAAATAGTTTCTGTGTGTCCTGTCAGATCTTACTAAGTCGTGTAAACAACAGCGGCAGTCCACTTACACAAGACAGTCGAATTAGTTGAAAACTCTCAGAGGAATTTGTTATGAGTTAATATGGCAACCCAGTTTCACATATCTACGCAATAAATGGAGCGTTTGAGTGTTTCAGACCTTTAGTCAATAAGAGCTTTGTAAAAAATCCCTCCCCCTAAACACGCACTGCAGCGTATCCTGGCAACTCAGCGCCACGAACCTTTCAAGGTGAAACGAGCGAGTGTATATATAATTCTGAAAGGTCGTCGAGTGATGTAATTTGGCTACAGTGTTACATTTGTGTTATTGCCCAACCCGAAATGAACACACAATAAGACCACATAGTTTGTGCATTGTTTTCCCTTCTAATTGCCAAACAATGAATTATTCAGTGGTTTCATGAATGCCCCAGAAACTGGATACCGAGTATCTAATTGTCTGCGGATACAATGGCGGAATTGAATTTGTCATTTCTCTATGGAATTCAAGGCTCAGAGCATTGTGAATAGAATGAAAGCACTGTCATTCGTGCACGAAACGCAAATACGTTTTAGCATTGCTAAATGTCGGAAAGTAATCCACGGATGACGAGGAGTGATTACACGAGACAACTTTCGTCGGAAAATTTTAAAGATAGAAGTTAAGAAACAACTGTCGATGGGTCGTTGATCTGTCGCATAATGCGTAACTGCCTCTCATTATTCTTCAATCCTAGCTACCGACATATTACGTTACTTGATAATAGAACGAGACTGCTGAATATACATGAGTGTCTGGTGGAAACTTAACTCCAAGAAAGCCGTCTACTGAGAAAAAAAATTTCATTTTGGTTAAAACTTGATGAGAGTCACTTTCCGTGTTCACTTGACTTAACCTTCGGGAAAAATTTCGTGCAGTCACATTGGTGATAAAACTTTCTCTTCTTCGTTTAAACAAATAATTGTACCTTTGTTTAATTTCCTTGTAATTAAGCTCCGAGCAAAATTAGGTTGGGCAACATTTGAATTTGTCTGCGAAGGACGGTTTCGACAAAAGTCGACGGAATTTTCACCTTTAGGTAAAGAATGGCACTAATGGTTGAGAAAGAAGAGAAACTTATCATCGATCACGATTGTTAGAAATTCCTTAAAATTTGTCGCGACATCTATTCATCGTTGGATCAATAACCATAAAAAAAGGAGAAGAAAGCATAACATGTGTATGTTGCATGAAAACTTTCATTACTGTAATCAAATTTTGACGCAAATTACTTCCGAGAAAGCTTCAGAACGAAAACCTAAGAAAAACGCGAGGCACTCAAATATGAAAATTGCCTTAAGAATTATTTGAGATGAAATGAATCGAAATGGAGGCATTCATTACGTCTTTTATCTTGTGTCTATTACTAATCTTAATTTGAGAGCCTTTGAGAGAAAGGCTTAATCCTTGGGATAGAAATTTAATCTTCGGCAATAATAAAAGATGCCTTAAATGTCCTGCGAGAAAAATGGACTCCTATGATATTGCAAAGAGATGCGCTAACCCGTCATTATATTGCGTAACTGGTGCTCAATCCATTCAGGGAGAGTTATATATTCAGTTCTTCATCATTCTTTATGTAACCCTATTTGAAAGATATCTTTTCAAACCACGTTACCGGGCGCAATTGAATTCCTTTTCAACTAATCTTAAAAGAAAGGCCTTTTGCTGGTAAAATGAAACAACATCTTGACGAGTTAAAAAAAAGGTCTTCAAAAGAATGACCCTGCACTTAATATCACCAGCTTGGTGATTCAAGCCCGTGAATGAATGTTATTGATGACCGTGAAAGTGTTTCCGCAACAAAAGCCAGTTTTACACGATTGGACGAAAATAAGCTTTTGACGTGAGTTTTTAATTAACGGCGTTGTGTGAAGCCTTTTTTAAGTTTCCATTATCGCAGCAGAAATTCAACTTTTCAGACTCTTTTATGTCTAGCTGTCAGTAGACGACAATTAACAATTTTTCCACGTGTATTTTATACAGGCGACTATCACCTGTTACTAACAGCAAATTGGTAACTTGCTGTAAATGTATTAAACATCCCCACGCAAAAAGTATAATTTGTATGCTACGAGTAACAAACAGTAAGCTGATATCGAACTTTTTATAATATCTTGCAAATAGTGATACCAAATTTATTGCTCGGTCTGTACAAACCGGACATATTGTATTAATAGCCGAGATAACCAAACCCCTGAGTTACCCTGGAAGAGCTTATTCTTCACTTATTTCTTTGAAAAATTCAATCAACCGTTTACATGATAATAGCAAACTCATCTCGCGGGGGAGGAGGAGGAGGAGAGAACTCCTAGTAAAAACGAAATAATTTTTATTGATGTATAGATTTTAACGCTGCTGATCCTAAAAACCTTTACTTTTTCGCATTTTCAAAAGAAAATCCTGTTTTTTTTTTTGGTCTTGATTCCCTTACTCTTGCAGAAATGTGCACAAGGTCATTATTGTTTAGCTTCTGTTACTACGTTCCTTTTTAGCTGGTTAAAAACCAAAATCTTCTTAGTTTAATTTTCTTTGGAACTCAGCTTGTGTTCAGTTTCTACGATCATAGAGAAAAAGCGAGCCACATATTGAAGGATTCTGCGCCTCAAACCCCCCACCACCCTCCGAAAACGCTTTTTTCATAAGTTCATCCTGACGGATATCCAAGGGCAACGGGATCATGATGTGGTTGACCCTACGAAACAATCATCTTTCGCCGACTAAGCACACATTTGACGCTTATGAACGAGTGTGAATAAAAGTGTAGCTCCTATTTAGCAATCAAAATTGTTCAAGAGTAGCGCACGTCCCTTTGTCGACGTTATGCTGTCGGATTTAAAAGAGAAAGAGGACCTAAATTAATATTTGTCCCTGTTCAAAGGGCTTAGATGATAGTTACAGCAAGGTTGAAGCCTTTTTGTTTAAGATTTCAGTTACCTAGCTGCATACAAAGTTAGTTTGACTAGTCATGGCTGCTACGTAATGTTTAAGAGACCTCAGAGTTAAACTTCAACCTTGAAACTCGACCATTAATCGAGACTGTACTGCATTCCTATGTAAATTTCGTTTCATTCCATATTGCTGATGGAACACTCTCGGGTTCAGCCGGTGACGAGCTGATGTTTAGAGGGCTGTGTCGAACTGAAAGGGGAAAAGTTTAAAATCATAGAATATTAGGAATGACGTCTAAGAAAATAAAAATAAATCACTCAGCAGCTACTGCACCGCGGTGAAATGGATCCCCGATAAATGAATGAATGAATAAATAAATGAAGTGACGGAGGAATGGAGGGAAGGACCGTCCTGCGTCACAAATGTTGACCAATTTATTATTTTTTTTTTTTATTTTTTGCTGAAGACTCACAAACAAAAGGATCCAGGATCTCAGTATGAGTAAAATAACCTTTGTCAAAATGCACTCAGTAGCGTAAAATGAGCTAGAAAAAGGACAATATATATCTTACTGAAATATCATGCGCGATTGATAAATATAGGAGGCCAACAACGCTGTTATCAGAATTGTATGCTTGGCTCTGCATTTGCAAAGATAGAGTGCGTCCTTTGTCCTTTTTAGGGTGTCTCAACATAAACAAAATATGGAATGTTGACGTCAGACCAAACATTTCCCGCAAGCATTTCGTGGGGCACACATGGTGAGTGTGACTTCGCTAGTTTCGCCTTTATTGTTCCCCTTTTTGAGTAACTCTTCGTAAAATTTTGTTTTCTAATCGGTATTAAAATGTATTTTGTCACAGCGTAAATAAAAACGAAGTTCCTAATGAATGCCACACATGTCAACCTACCATGTACAATTGATTACAACATATAAATAAAGGGGGTTAGTTTCTAAAGAAACTGTGGTGCTGCGTCGGTGGGAGCGTATAGCAGGTATCGTGTTAACAACTGAGTAGAAAACGTAAATTGGTCACCGTAAAGAGTTAAAAAGCTGACGTTTCGAGTGTTAGCCCCTCGTCAGAGCGATTGCGAAGGGCTAACGCTCGAAACGTCAACTTTTTAACTCTTTACGGTGGCCAATTTACGTTTTCTACTCAGTTGTTAACACTAAATTACCTGATTACAACATAGACCATTTTGGTAAAGAAACAATATTCAGTACTCACAAAGATGTATGCTGGTTCCAATAACCCGCGAGAAGTAACAATCGGTGGCGAAGTGGCCTCTGTTTGTGTCCCATGGTCATTCTTCATTATTCGGCGGTACTTGCGATGTTTCTTTACCATCAAGTTTTGCTCAAGTGAATTTGTTGTATTCTCGTCATTACCTCTACGTTCTCCTAGAGACAGAGTGAAACTCAGAGTTCCACGGTCTTTTGCAATGGAAGGTTTTCTAATCATACTTGTCTGAAGCTGTGCTTTAAGCATGTTCTTTCCAACCATACCGCGAATTTCGCCATGCAAATCATTAAGAGGAAGGAGCACGGCCAAGCAGCACGAGATGGACCATTGCGGGTTCTTACGCCACTCTTTGAAGTACTGATATACGTACACCAGGTATTGAACTGCAGATAAAATAAATAGAATTCAAATGATTGTGTCTTTTCAGATTCGTTCTCCATATCACATGGCTGTTCAGTTAGATAAGTTAAATATTGGACTGTCCTTTGACTAATATTCCAAACGCGCACGGATTATTTCAACCAACAGCAAAGGTAAAATTAATATAAGGGTTATATAAGGGTTATTTCTGATCAAAAAACAAAAACTTTAATACTGCTTTATCCACTTAGTCATGTGCAAATTGGCGAGCAAAAAGAGATATTACGATTCAAATATTTAGTGCATAAAATAAGAGTACTTATTACTACTTCTTACCAACGAGAAGCCCAATCACGAGAGTATTTGCTCCAAGAATCAGTATCTTCATTGAAATGGCATCCATGTGTTTATCCTCGGCGTTCGATATATTTTCTGCTGGAATTTTGCTGACAGCACCGATACCTAAGTTGACAACTGTAACAGCGAGGGAAGTGGTCATTAATCTGTTTTCGAATGGGTCCTGTATGGGTCTCATCCAAGAGAAATGAATTCCATACACACCAGCCACGACCCATGCCAGACCAATGTAGGACCTGCTTTCATGACCCACGAGAATAAGGCCAGAGGTAAGAATTACTCTCCGAGACATTTCAACCAGCTCCCAATACCATGAGCACGGTTTGTAGTTTTCGAAAAGAAACCGCAGACCTCCAACGATTTCCTTGTCAACGTGTGACCCATCACAGTTTACTGTGGTTGATATTGCTCGCCGATGCCTCCAAAGGGCGACAAAAGACGCAGCAGGTAGGGCAAAGATGTACGCAACGGAAATGTAGGCTACAATTAGCAATTGGTCATATTTTTGGCCTTGGCATTTCACGCTGTAGTCTGCTTTGAGGTACTCGTTGCACAGCTGTTCATTTTTGTCCTTGCACAGTTTACGGCAAGCAAGTGGCAGAACACTGGCTGTCTTTGAAAACGAAGTCAAATAAGTCACATAAAGGATGAAAAACAGATTTTTGAACACGATTTCTTTCAGTTGTGAAGTTTTGGCTAACTTTTCTTCGTCAAGTAAGCTTTTATTGCCAAAGATAATCATCTTGCGAATGTCAAAGATCAAACCCGAAGCGATGATGACAATTGCATTCAATGACAAGATTAGAAACAAGTCTCCAAACGCGTTCATGTGTAATCCTGGAAAAAGGCAGTGAATGGGTGCCACCTGAAGCAAATTCATCTGCAGTATTCCTGAATACCTTGCAACAACTTCTAACGAGTCTGGCCAGCTAATATAGGAGAAAACGTCTAGTAAGCCATGAGTGACTTGGTAAAATCCTATCAAGATTTTAAATTTGGATAAGGATTTGTCCATAAGATCGAGAGCACGCTCTGTTTTAAGCTTCGTTTTCCTCTTCCATGCCAACAGAGAAAATGTTATTAATAAAATGACAGCAACAAGAGATAACTGTCCCACGATCCATGATTTTGATGGGCATTTTTTGCATCTGTGGAATTGCTTGTAGTATCCAGAGCTGCATACGGAGCAAATAGGTCCCTCATACCCATCTGCACATGGTGAGTCCAATCCACCCTTACAGGACTCTGGTACTTGGCACCTATACGGCGTTGGGAGTGTATAAGGATACTGCACAGAATGCTCATCTAATGCTGGTTTAGATTCCACGAGATTTTTTATAAAATCTTGATAACGACGTTTGTAAGAATCGTTACGCCATTGCCACCAATAACCAGGTCTCAAAGAGGCATATTCTTTCTGGCAAACAAGTCCATCTTTACCACATTCGCGACATCCCTCAAATAAGTGGGTTCGATAATGACCTTTTAAGCATGGACAAGCTCGATGTCCAGCGAAAAAGTCAGTTTCTGTTCCTAATAGAGGAATGGATCGTTAAATAGTTTTGAAGTTTTTGTTCAAGCCGGTTATGATATCTTAAAACTTCGGCATAGAACTAAATTAAGTGATTAACACAGACTGTATATCCATGTAGGCAGGTAGGTAGGTAAGACTTTATTTAATGAGAGTAACATTTGACAGTAATAAAACTGATAACCAAATGGCCCTCAAAAAAACAAAACAAACTAATAGCAATAGTTATAACAATATTATATAAGCCTTTGTACATCGCAAAATAAGATTATAAATGTGGTTATATACAGATTTTAAAATTTACATGAATGATTTACATGAATTACTACGTTATGCATAGCTTATGCTCAACGTTTGAAACTCAGAGCGTTTGCTTCCTCCCACATCCAATCCATTGATTTTAAGTTTCTATTTTCATAATTTGCTTACGGCCATTACTGGGCCAAATCTAAATCTGATCAATGTTCTGTTTGCCATTAGATTAATAGATAAATGAACGTTTTATGGTTTGTCGCACGATGAAATAGTGAGGCTAATCAACTGTGTAATGATCGCAACGTTTCGACTGCTAGTCTACGTCGGGCGACCTAGGCGAAGAGTACCAGTACAGCAATCGAAACGTCGTGATCAATGCATGATTAATTAGCCTGATTCTTACATCTTGAAACAAACGATGAAAAGTCAATTTACCAATAAACTTCAATGACAACATTTTTCATAACAGCTACGCTAACGGCTCTAACGGACATCTGTAAGCGTTCGAAGGAAAGGCTATTTCCCCTATCTTTCGAGAGGAAAATCTCTAACGTATGGGCAACGGATGCTCAGAAAATTTGGCTGTTGAACGGAAAAGCGATATAATATATTTTCCCATGCACGGTTTCAAATTATATTCTCTTATTCTCGTTTGAAAACTCTCTATCTTTCGACTAAAGAGAGACCTTAAATCTCTGAAGAGCTACTGGAATATCTTTTGCAACCTTACACGTTGGGTCAAGAGACTATAAATCACTTGGTTGGGTATATGCCTTGAATAAATTCTACCATAAGGCATCTCTTCTATGTAAAGGTACGTAATCGGTGCTTGCTTACCCAGAGGACAAGTCTTGCAATCTAACACTGATTTTCCAGGTTTCTTGTCATATGCAACGTAAGACCCATTCGGACATTTCTTACAGCCTTTCGCCACAAAGGCAAGATTATCAGAGTAAAATCCACCTGAAAAAAGAAAATCACTGGCTACCACCCCTAGCTGACAAGTTAACTTGTTTTTTCGTTTGTTTTTCATTTTGCTTTCGCGGTCGTTTTTGTTTTGTTGCTGCGCTAGGTCTGCACGTCATGATCTCGAGCCAAATAATTTCTCGTCCAGCTCAGCCACTCAGTCTGACAAGTACATATTCTTTCTACCACAACAAAAGCAAATATCATTGAGAGTTATTTCGTGTTAGCTTGAAGAGATATATCATAGCTGGACCAACGCATACAAGATTCAACCGTTTGAAACGCTTTTAAAGGGATGACTTTCCTTGATTCTTTGTAAAGAGGTTACTCTGCCATGTGAGTCAATCATGTTGCTTCATGCTCTAAACTTTAATAGAATCTCGACTGTTGACCAGTCGGTTAAATTCTAAGCCAAGAATTTCACACTGCCGCATTGCGAGGTATTTGGTCCTCTTTGAAGAAAGTTCCAACGCCAGAGACATGAAATCGGAGGCAAACATCATGGCTAGTGTAGCTTCTAGTAACTGCTCCCGTGCAGACACCATATTGTTCACGTGTATACGCATATGTATAAAATGCATAAAGGCATATATGCATAAAGGCATTCATGCAACCTACTGTATTTTCTTTTGTCGTGGTGTTAACTATAGTGAAGCAGACACAACTCTAATTAAATTTACACATTTTCTTTAAGTGCTCTCTGTAATCAAAGATAGCATACCTGGTGGACAATCTGAGCAGATATCTGAATCTAGTTCCGAGGTAAACAAGGTGTGATGTGAAAATGTACCCAAAGGACAGGGTAGAAATATGAAGTAGTTACTTTCAGAGGCTGTCTTTCTGAATCCCACTTTATGTAGAAAAGATATAACAGATGGAGACACTGTTGAAGGAACTGTGATGGCTTCGTCGTGTGTTTCAAGAGGATTGCTGAGGAAAAATTATAAATCAGTAGTGTTTAAAGACCCCAACAAGCTCAGGCTCTTTTCCAAAATGGTAATTTCAATGTCAACAGCTCTATTACAAGAACAGAATGAAATATCTTCGAGGGCACGCTAAATTGTATAGAACTTTAATAGTCGGTTATATTGTTAGCCACACAATCCTTTCATAATCTTCATTAAGGGGGTCAAAGCCATATAGCTAAGCCTCCAAACACAGCTTTCGGTAGTATTCGGTTAGGATTTGCAATGAGTAAACTGTCTATTCAATTAAATTTACCCTAGGACATGACAGTTCCTTGAAGGAGGATCTGTTAAGGGAGGAGGAACCGCTTTGATTCTCACGTCACCCAGGCCAATTACGTAAATTACGTATGTCAGTATGATTCGTTATTGAAGCAAAATAAGATTACAGAGTGATATTCAAAGGCCAACTGTAGATTGATTACGTGATTAAACACAATTTCCACGAGATATACGAGGTGTACTTTTATATTATCTGATTTCTGCATCCTGGCCCATGCAGTGTCCTACAACTAATCATACTGACAGATACAAGGAGTGCTTCCCGTTGCCAGATGGGTAATTGTAGTCTATCACCCTGGTGATTCTGTTCGTCAAAGTTCTGTAACAACAAGAAAGAATTTTTAAAATTATCGAATTGTATCATACTCGCTGACTGGCATGTTCCCAATCATCAAAGATCATCACTTAATCAATAAAAATGCCTTACATTCGAAAATCTTGAGGGTGATTGCTTGAAAAGATGTCAGAGGCAATCGTTTTCAATGAAGTTCGTAGAAGAAATCTGTTGTAAAAATAAAGTGAGTGAATGAATAAATACATACTATTCAGCAAAACAGACTCTCACTTTGTGATATTATCGGTGGCGTGAAGAATAATGTATAATTATTGGACTAGGTTGGGCTTGAAAACATCGTTATATACCAGATGCGAGAATAGATTATTTACAGAAACTGGAGGCTTAAGCAAATGACTGATATGCGAGATAGTTTATATACTTTAGGTGCATTTCAACTTTCATAATATAAAAGAATCAAGTGACGACTCACATTTTTAATTCATGATAAGAGAGACCAAATGCCTTCGGCTCAATTTTTTCTATCGGATTGTCAGACAGTGTTCTGGGATGAAAGTAACATTCTCAAAGGTGTTAAGATTTTAAGAATTTACCAGATGATGTTCTCACTGAAAAAATATCTCGTTTTAATTGGTCAATGGCGAATGGATTAAAAAAAGGGAAAGGATTTCGGTTTTGCTCTCATTCTATTATTTTTTCTTTCTTTCTCGAAATGCAAGTTGTAAAGATGGATTAAATCTTACTTCCTACTGTTAAGGTTAAAAACGTCAAAGAAAACATGAACATCACATCTCGTAATATGCTATGTTTTTATCAAGCAACATTTTCCTTTTACCGAGAAGCACCTTTGGAAAACATGGAATTTGGTTTTAAAAACAAATCATATGGCAAAAAAGACAAATTTTGTTGGTACATCTACCTTTTTGTTTACTTACAGCAGTTTTAAATGGTTCATGTGATAGAAGGCTTGATATGGCACATGCTGTAAGCGATTATCATTTAGTAATCTAAAACAAAGTAGTTTCATCAAAACTATAGAATGGAGGAACCTTGATGTTATGGTATCTACACCTCACGAAAAAAGATACTTTATTAATAAAAAGTAAGTATAGTGTTTTTTTTCTAAAGCTGTTTCCCGAATATTTCCAAGATTTCAGACCCGTGCCGAATTTTGACAGTAATAAAACCTTTACTGCGTAAATATCCACCGTGAGAGTCACATCTTAGACTAAAGTCGTTATTTTGTCTCTTCTTAATGCGTATGTGCGAGTGATGATGGAAAACCCTCAAATATCATCGCAGGGAAGAAGAAAAATCAACATATTTCATCAATATCTATGTACAGGTGTGTGGCAATACAATTTATATAATAAGCTCTGTTATGCATGCATTCTGATTGGTTCTCACTTATGATCTATTGGAGGACAGACGTATAGATGACGTCATCATTAAAACTTTCTAAAATTCTTTATTATATAAAACAAATAGATTCCAAGTTGCCGTGCGCCTGTTCAGTAATAGATCACACAGGACGTCAAAATGAGCTGCGCCTCGTGTGCCACTTTTTTGTTCTTACCACATTTTGACGTCATCTATGATCTATTACTGAACAGACGCACGGAAACTTGGAATCTATTTGTTAATTAGTGTTGCGCTTTCCATGATGGGCTCCAGTCTCCCTTGTCACTTACAGGTACCAAAGATATTTCACGTTCGCTAACACTTTATCAGGAAGAGAGGTGATCATATTTGAAGATAAATCCCTAAATAAATCAATTCAAAATAAATGAATAATGACCCGTGTAAATAGGTAAATAGATCGATAGAGAGGTCATAGCATAAATCAAAGTTTCAACGAACTGTCGGCCAATATAACGTGCGTGCTACTTCTTGTCAAGAAGAAAAAAACCTAGTGGACCATGTTTTTTCCTTAATGATACTTTCGAGATATTTTCAGTGCACTTAAAAAGAACTACCTGACTTTCAGCATTTAAACCTTAGGCTTGTATGAATGCCCTCATCAGTTGGCAAAGTTGAGTATTATACTCAGACATTGATGTAGATAAAGTTCTCATTCCATTTATTAAAATTGCTGCAAGCAAATTAAAGTTAGATTTCCGGAGGTAGATTCTTGCGTATGTGCGCATGTGGTATCTTCGTCGTTGATTTAAGACACGCTTGAATATTTCAATATCTCAACTTTGTTAAGTGACGATAATATTGCTTTAGAAGAAAAAAATCCTCACATTTCGTCATATTTTATCCATATGACAATTGTCACTTACAGTTGACGAAGGCCCCTTAGGTTGGTAAATACTGCAACAGGCAGAGAAGAAATCCTGTTTGACGATAAATCCCTGAAAAGATAAATAAATAAATGACGAAATGAATATTTAGATTAATGAAAACAAAAATATATAATTGAATTGACTGTTTTCAGAGTGAGGTTTAGGCTTCATATGAGTAACTTTTTGCGTCGTCTGTCGAAGTACAGACTGCAACCGATAGTTCTAGTTTAAAACTCTTGCTATGCCCGAAAAGTTTACAATTTTCAATTTTTCAAGAAAGAGTTCAGTAAATTTTGTCCACATGGTGCTGACAAAGATTTTGAACCTTCCTAGTTTCTGAATATGAAGACTGGATTTCTCTGAAATTCAATATGGCTGTTATAGACCCACTAAAGGAATACGTGGTATAACAACGATTTATCGCTATTTCCTAAACTGACTTGATTTTACTCTCGATATCGAAAAATATTTACCAGCTTAGATAGAAGGCCTAAACACCATTGTTAAGGATCGCATTAGATTTTTTTGTCTTGTAAATTAATTATTCACAACATAAATAAAGTTGGTAAAATAAAAAATTCCTTTCCTAAAGTGAAGCATAAAAGCGTGGCCATGTTAGTGCAACCTGTTACCGCCATGGACGACATTCAGTTATCTTCATAAGTAAGATTATATCTTTATTGCATGCAGGGAAAATTCAGAAGCAGGAATAATAATATTCTACCAATATCTCTAGCAATTATTAAACGTTTCCTATAATAAGGTCACTTACAGCAAATAAAGTCTTGCTAACTTGGCAAACACGTTATTGTGGAGAGAGGAAATCCTGTTTGAAGATAAATACCTAAATAAATGGAAAAGGAGACAAAAAGAAAGAGAAAATGAATAAATACAAAAAAATTAGATGCAAAGATAAATTCGTAATTTGACGAATAAATGATAAATAAATAAAAGTTGATAGATAAATAAAAATTAATTAGCATAAACGTTTAAAAGGACACTAGCCATTATTACACTGTCATGAACAATTTTTTAGTTATTTTCACATGCGAAATGTTCACAATGACATCTTAAATACGTGCGGTGAATGTCTTGACTCGTGTTCACACAAGAAATCACCATGTAACATGAATATCTGTATACTGAAGAGAAATTCTATTTCTTATCCTGCTTTGATTATATATTTAAGGTACGTCTAACGTCACTTACAGAGTATCAAGACTTCTAAGGTTGGCAAACACTGTGTCAGGGAGAGAGGCAAGCACGTTTGATGATAAATCTCTGAAAAGATCGACAACTGGCTAAGATCAATGAACGAGAAATAAACAAGTAAATTTATAAATAAACAGATAAATGCAAAACTAGATACCGGTAGGTTAATTAATCATGTGCATGAAAAAATTACGCGCGTCTGATTGGTTGATGCGTGTGCATTTTTCCATGCAACACAAGTGCAAAGTTGTAATACGAGTGCAAATTACAAATAGCGCAAATGCCGCCAAAATTTCGTCCGTCTTGACTTTCTGTGATGCCTTTTTCGTGTAAATGATTAACAAGTATCAACATGATTTAAAGTGCAATTTGATGTTAATTAGCACTTGTAATTGTTTTCAATAACTACAAATTGAACTCGCCCTACAGTCTTTGAAAAATTTACTCGTGCTTATTAACATCAAATTGTACTCCAAATCATGTTGTTACCTATACAAATAAATACATAATATAGATGTTATGGCTTTGATCCTGTCAAAAATTCTGATATGCATCAAGAGCCTAAGGTTTCTAATTCTGTTTTCAAAAACTGCGTACAAATGAAAAGTGAAGCAACTTTGTTCAATTTAATCTTTCTCTATTGTTCACGTAGTGCCTATGCACTACCTCCTTGAACAAGAAGAAGAAGAAGATATCACCAGCTCATGGTCTCTTGACAACATAATATCTTCACTGCGTGTGATACAAATTCATTGCTCCAGAAATAGAAAATTATCAAGTTTCATTAATATCAGTGCACAGCACTTCCATTTATTTTTGGGCTTTGGTTTACATTGGTATGTCTAACGTAACTTACAGCTCAATAAGACTATTTAAGTTGGCAAACACTTTATCAGGTAGAGAGGCAATCATGTTTGAAGATAAATCCCTGACTCGACAAAAATTAGATAAATAGATTAACAGACTGAAATAGAGATAAATAAATATCAAGCTTACTAAACAAACAAAGCTGGCAAAAACCTGTCCGGCTACCGCGCACATAGATAGAGGAAAGTTTATATGATAATAACTTCCTACTTGGCTTTTTCCTTTTTTGTTTTCCTTTTTTTCTATAATAATGATGTTATGGCAAATAGATATACATAGAAATACATTTTTCAGATTCCCTGAGCTACACTCGTGGGTGTGCGTACAAGGTCACTTCGCAGAGGTAAGTTTGTAGGCTGTAAATGAATATTTTTTTGCACGTGACTTGCGCGCTGTGCTTTTGCACAATTATCAGAGGTTATCACAAGTATTTTTCACATATATAAAAAGACGAAAATAACATGATTTCTCCCGTAAAGTGGGGTGAATTTTCACTCGAAAATATTCCTAAAGAAAACAAATTGCACTCTCCCCACGGCCTCGTACAATTATGTCGGTATTTGAAAAAAATTATTGTAAGTTGCACCACGCTGAATTATGTGGTTACTTGCATAAATTTGAAAAGATCTGGATGCAGTCAGTAATAGACTATTCGAAAACTCGGCTATCGCATGAAAGTCAATCTTTTTTTGTGAGCATTTTTTCCCGCTGCAAGCGGATTCACAAAGTTTGCAAAGTAGAATATCCCTTACTAAGAGAGTAGCACAAACCGTGGTCATGTTAAGACAGCCGGTTATCAATATGGACAACATTCAGAAAAAATCGACTCCTGTTCTCTTGACAGCATCCAATTATCTTTTCATGCAAAATGTTTACAATGATATCCTCACTGCATTCAGTAAAAATCAGGTAAGTCTAGGGTCACTCACAGCCAATGAAGATCCGTTAAGTTGGCAAACACATTATCAGGTAGAGAGGTAATCAAGTTTGAAGATAAATATCTAAATGAGTAAACAGAAAAATACAAGAAACTTTATCAAGAAAAAACAATGAGTTCGTAAATAAACATATAAATGGATAACTAGATAAAGATATCAATCATAAAATAAGGTAGAGATAATTGTTTTTCAGATTTCCATGGCTACGCTCGTGCATTCGTGTGTATATGGTCGCCACTGTAGAGCTTTGGTTATGCTCTCAGAAACACTCTTTATGTACCCTCTCTTGGTAAGAGTTATATTCTTGTAACAATAGTTTACTGAACGTCAAAGATATTGGAAAAGTGAATATTTCGTTCGTTAAAGTGGAGCACTAACAACTGCTCATAGTCTCTCGACAAAAATAAGTTCTCTTAAAATGAAAAATGTACTCAAGGATAATCCGAGATATTCTGACTGCGAGTGGTAAAAATATCCTGCTTAAGAAATAGGTATCTCACTGCACATTCTATTTTTCACTGTAGTTAGCCTTTTATTGGGTATGCCTAGTACTACTTACAAGTCATAGATGATTCTTGAGTTGGAAAACACTTTCTCAGGTATAGAAGCTATCCTATTTGAAGATAAATCCCTGATTCACCAGACAAAGAGATAATTTTATTAATAAATAAGTAGGTGAAAATTTAAATACAGAAACAAATAAATAAATTGAAAACTCGTCATCGCCATCGATCATTGTTTATTCTTTGACCAGTTTAAGACCACTTTGGGTAATACGCTAAAAACTTTTTCAAGCGCGAATCTACCCAGTTTTAGACCCCTATTTACTAGAATT